AAAAAAAAAAAAAAAAACAGAGGACCTTGCTCCACTATTCTTTTTTTTTTTTTTTTTTGACCTTGCTCCAATATTCTTGACATGCACAAAAGACACAAATCACGGCGCTGTACCTTTCCATGTTCTTGCACATTTCGAGAGTAGTGGAGCCAGGCAAAACGAGAATGAATCTTCCCTTACAACATGGAAAGATGCACTGCCGGGAGGCCCCAAGGATGACAAGGACGACGTCGGGAAATCTGAGGGGATACTCATAAGGCGACCCCAAATCCGCAATTTGGAAAGGGCCGATTTGAGGTTTTGGGCATGGTTCACGTCACACTGCTGTGCCTTTTCAGATGGGACAAAGTGGCGGCCGTCAGGAGAAATGGGGACTTGGTACTTGGCTGGTCACAATGCGCCATCCACTAATTGTGCAAAAACTTTTGTGAACGAATTTTTGCCAATTTTTGAAGAAAAATGCAACAAATGGAAAGGGCATTTGCGGTCCCCTCCAGAGGTGACCGCAAAATCCCTTGGCCCGCGGCTTCCCAGGCCGCTGACACAGAGAGAGAGAGAGAGAGAGAGAGAGATAGAGAGAGAGAGAGAGAGAGAGAGAGAGAGAGAGAGATAGAGAGAGAGCGAGAGAGGGAGCAGGCAATCTGCTCAGACTGACACACTCTTCTGAGTCTTCTCACCATTTTCTTTTTGTTTCGTTTTTTATTTTTGAAAATCAGGCGGGTGACCCTCCGACATGAAGTGATAAGACCACATCCCTGTCCGAGGAATCATCCTTAATATTACTCCCTTTATTGGTGGAGAGGTGCACCTGCTGGACAACGGGTCCAGCGTCCCATAAGAAAAACCATGAACAGAAATTTAAGATCCATATGAACGCGCTTCCGAATCTGTATCCTGTGGGAGGATCATGTCCTCCTTCTCGTCCCAAGGATGGCGAGTGAAGATGAGCTGTTTGGTATCTGAAAATCGTATCCACTGGAACTCAGATTCCCAGAGCCACAGGGTTGCTAGGGGAGTCTGCTCTTACCACAGAGTCTAGCAAACCTGGGTTTTGTATTAAAAAAAAAAAAAAAAAAAAAAAAAAAAAAAAAAAAAAAAGATTCCCAGCAATTCAGAAACATACTCGGGGCTCCTGCGTTCTGTTGGAGACTCTCAGTTTCGCTGCACTACTCTCCACTCTCCGGAAATTCAAAAATTCGGAGAGTGGCCGGATAGTTGCCGAACTCTCCGAATTCACGGTTTTCTGCTCATCGCTGCACTTACTATCCGTGGTCCCACCTTCCAATTCATGAGAACACTAACGGACGAGGAGACAGCACTGGAGTACTTGGCGTCATCTGCATTTTGTACGCCCCGACTCCAGGCACACTCTCCGAATTCAGAGCATTTTGGAGAGGCCCGCCGAGGTCCATCCGGAAAACCTTCTTTGCAGGCTGGGAACTATCTGCGCGCGGATAGTTCTTCTCATCGCTGGTATCTGAGAGCTATCCGAACATTTTCAAAGGGAGAAATCGGATAGTTAGTGCAGCGATGCCGAGCTCTCCGATTTCGGAGAGTGGATAGTAGTGCAGCGAGACCCTCTGTCGCATTTTTCCCCATTCTGCTTCCTACTATTTGCACCGTTTGCAGGGCAACAAAATTATCTGCGGACTGTCTTATCCCTTTGCTATCTGCGGCTGAAAAGACTGACAAACACACGAATAGTCCTCATTCCTATACTTTTTCTGACCACTAGGGGGACGTCGCCCCGGCCTTCCTTTCTCTTTTGTAATATGAAAGTTCTTCTGCTCTTTAAGAAAATAATGGATCATTTGCAAAATACCCTCATAAGTTGAGATATATGCCAAAATGCCCCTGAAAGATGTGGGTAGCGTGGAATGCCCTTTTGGGTCGAAAACTTTGCCTTGTGCCCCTGTGTGGCGGGTCTGCAACTTTGCAATCTGGACCTCCCGCGTTTGGGCTTTGGGATTTTGCAATACTTAGTGCCTAGGAGAAGTTGGCAAGTACGGGGGGATTTTGCAAAGGTGGACGGTACCCGGTAGGGGCATATTGCAAAGATGTGGTTCCAAACACCGCCTCCAGGGGTGTTTCACAAAATATTTTCTTTGTCCGAGGGGCATCCCGCTGTACCCACATCTTTTAGGGGCATTTTGGCATATATCTCAACTTATGGGGGTATTTTGCAAATTATCCAGACCCCCCCCCCAAAAAAAAAAAAAAAAAAAAAAAAAAGAAGCCAGAAGGCAATTTGCCAATTTCTTTTTTTCTCTTCCCCTAAAAAAAGTCAAATTCCATTAATTAGCCAAATTTGTGGCCTGGGATCTCAACATTGCATCCCGCAGGCCGCAGCCAACCAGCTCCGGCTTAC